AAGAGGGTGGGTGTTCCGTACTGATGAGGACTGAAGGAGGAAAATGTGTGTTGAGAAAAAAGAGGGTGACCGGACTGAAATTAAGAATTAGAGATTTAGCTTTTAGGTATTATATTAATGTATACATTATATATAACTATAATCTAAATTGAAACCGAACTAGTTTTCGTCCTCATTGAACCGAATTCATTTTCTCTAATTGGTTTGGTTTTGAATCATTTTTTCGATTGGATTCAATTCTGTACACTCCAAATTATGATTATACATGACTGACAATTAATTTTAAATAATAATAAAAATACTTTAAAAATTAACATTACATAAATTTCACATGAAATTAAAGTAATACATTCTAAATTTAAAATATAATTTTCAACTTTTATATAAAGAATTTTTTATTTTGAGAATAATTTTTATTTCTTCTCCTTTTTTTTTTTAAAAAAAAAAAGCATAATTTCTTTAGTTTTCTTACAGAAAATGGGATTAAAATATTATTTAATTTTAGATTTTGATATAATGATAAGTCTTAAATCTTTCGGCCACTTCCTTCCTTTTATATTAGAGTTGTGAATTCATTGGCATGACATGTTTCAGGCCTCATCTCATTCACACTGCAATTGGGTTTCTTCCAATGAGTTGGATATTCTCGACTACATTCTTGAGAAATTGATGCCAATGAATCTCTCTACCCACTAAAATTCAATCCAAAGGCATATCACATGCACATTTCATTTTCTACATCAACATGGTCTAAATATCACCTAAGATCACAACAACGAATCATATGTTTATTTTAAGCATACTTGACATTTTTATACATATCAATATGATCAACAAGATTTCCATCAATCAAGGCTTGAAAAGTCATTGTATCCGACCTTTCACGACGAATGCACGGATTGCGTCGCTCATTGGGCCTAGGATGGCCCAAGAGGCAGCATTTTGTTGGGCTATGGTCCATAAGATTTCAAACCTTTTTATAAAATAAAAAGTAATGAGTTTTTCATTAACATCACTTTTAGTGGCTTAATTTAAAAATGACTAAATACTTTTTCTTACAATTCTGTTTGTGTTGCCCGCTACAAATCGTAGCATCAGCACCAAAATTACTGAATTAAAACTTAGAATCATAATAATAATTGTTAGATTGGATTCTATTAGTTTAGAACAGAAAAATTATTTAATTAAATCCAATTTCTTTTTCTCTTGTGAAAATTTTCTACTACACTTTCGTTAAGCTCTCCGTCGTCTAATCCAACATCAACTCGTTCTTCTGCATCTATACCATGATGCTATTTTAAAGGGTTTATTTAATATAAATGTTGGTTTTTTGCTTTAGAAGTTTTAACTCATAATTATTCCTAAAAAATCAGACATAAAACAGTTATTTTTTTCAACTTATCTTAATTAAATTAGTGTCTGAAACAAAATATACACTTTTACATATTTAACATACAACAAATCCCCCTCTTCAACTACTTCCATCTCTTCTCGCTTCTTCCTCACCCAAATCCTTCCTTCCACTGCAAAACCAAAATTATTCTCCACAAATTAATCAACCCAAATTATACCAACACCAAGTGTTCGTGTTGAATTGGAGTTTTCTTGAAAAAGATTCATAATAGGCTCAAAATTTTCTAGTTGGATCTGCAATTTGCAAAGGATTTTTACTAAAATTTGACAACAACAAACTACATCATTTTTTTTTTTCTCTCTTCTCTCTCTCTCTTTCTATTTAAAAACTATATTCTAGATGAATTTGACTATTTATTTTCTTCAAGTAGAAAACTGTTGACTAATGAAACAAAATTCAAAATCAATTATTGGATATTCAAGAGAAAAACAGATACGGAAATTGAAAAGAGATTCCAGAGAAAAACAGAACAAACCCCATTTTTCAGAGTTTAAACATCCTTGACAACAAGATCGCCATTGACGAACTCTCTGTATGCCGCAACAGGCCAGCTAAATCCCCTGAAGAGCAACCTCGAAGCCAAAGGCACATCAATGATGATCTCCTTCATCGCTGGCTTCTTGTCATCGCTAATCGCAATCAGGTAGCTCCGACCCACCCACCCGATCCAACCCGCAATGTACAGGAACAAAATACCAGGAGTTATGAACTCGCCCCAGTGTCTCTGGTCTCCGTTCACAATCAGGTGCGGTAATCCATCAGATCCGCACAGCAAACCTTGCTTTCCATAATTATCGAACCTCCTCTTCGTCTTCTCGATCGTCGCGTTAATTGCCAAAGCCGGAGCACTGTCGGGTGCGTATAGCTTTAGCGACGACTCGAGTTTCTTGAGCTGCTGCTTCTCGCGCTTGGCGAACTGTTTTGACTCCTTGCATGGGGTGAGTCCGGAGATGTCGGCGACGGCGGGAAGAGGAGCGGAGAGGAGGATGGAGGAGAGTGCGAGAGCAGCTGAGAAAGCCTGAAGCGGCGATGTAGAGGATGTTTTCTCTTGGGTTGTTCCAGAGGAGGAGCAAACAATGGAGGGTCTAAGTTGTTTGGTTGGGGAGTTTAACCTGGGTTTCAAAATGGGTTTAGAGAGATTTGAAGGAATTGTGAGAGACATTGTTGATTTCTGATGAATTGTTTCAGAAGGATTTGGGGAGAGGAAGGAAGAGAGGAGGGAGGGGTTTTAGATTCTGAGAAGAAGAGATTGGTGGTGGGGAAGGAGGATAAGGGCGAAGGAGTAAGAGTGATGACGTGGACGAATTTAATTGGTTTAAAGGTCTGTTTGGCTGGGGAGACAGATTTTCTCTTGTTATCTCTCTTACAGCGGATAAGAGATTTCGTGTGCTCTCCATGAACTCCACTTTTCATTTTTACGCGTGGCTTCGTTGAAAGCTATAACGTACTGAAAATAGAAAGCCAGCCATTTTGTGCCTTTTAAATTAAATTTCGTTTATTAAAATGGGGTTGTATTTCTATAATTTAGATTATGTTATAATAATTGATGTGTATAAATTATTTAAAAAAGTAAATTACAATATTATATTAGAGTCTCATATAATTATTTGTAAATAATGGCTAAAAATGTAAACACCGCATTATACTCACTTTTAACTTTTCGAACACCTTTTTTTTTCCTTTCACCGACTTCACAGAATCTTTATAATTTTATACAAGATTTTTATTAAATATTTCAGATTTATTAAAAAATCTGATATGATATAAGAGCATTTGTGATTTCTTTGATCAATCGGTGATGGTGAATGTACGACGAAACTATAAATTATGTGTTATGTACCATTGTTCATTGGATTTTATTGGACAAACAATCATATATACATTTATGAGTTTAGATTTGTCGAAGTTTGAAGAAGTTATTTCCAATCTTTTTAATTTACATTCGAGTGAGAATCTTTCAGTCCAGCATATTTCAATTGTATTCTCAGGTAATAACTTTCATTTTTAGTTTTGTTTGATGCAACTAGCTTTAATTTCTATTAGTAAGTTGAAGTTCGTCGATGGATCTCTTCTTGTTCTAAGTAGAGATAATCCTTTTTATAGTGCATGTGAACGATATAATATTTTAGTCGTTTTTTTAGATAATAAATTATTATCGTCTTTCATAGCATAGAGCGTAATCTGGATAGATTACGCAAAGAATTTATAGAAAGATCTGGATTATCAATTCGCACAAAGTGATATAGTACATGTTTCTAACCTTTAATATGAAATTTGTTTTCTAAATAAATATATTTTGTTACTGAATATTTCACTCATACGAAGATTTCATAAGACAAATTCTCAAATTTGAGACATGTTCCTATATATGATTGTGAATCGAGTTGTACATATAATATAGCTAATACAAATAAAAAATATCAGAAAATGAATAAAATAATCTAATTTATTACAGACTGAATAAGTCATTTAGCATATTGAAGTATTAAATTATGCTTATTAAGCCTCTGCCTTCTTTGAATAAGGTCTTTGCATTAGTCTTACAACATGAGCAGAATCTTAAATGCATGAATCTCTATTTAATATGAGTGGAATATACTATATTCAAATAAGATTTTTGTTCAACAACAGAGTGACCTGTATTATGATTTTGGAGTTAATATATAAGAATAATGCATAAGCTAATAATAAAAGGTCGACTTTTACACATTTGGATTTGTTGGTCAAACAGTGGATAAATGTTATAAGAAACATGGTTATCCGCCAGATATAAATCAAAGTCAAGGAATATGTCTAGTATCAAGCAAACAAATACTCATTCAACAGAGAATAATTTTACATGAGTTGAATCTTATATGCAATTCAACTCTTAGTGTAATATTTCATATTACCTATCTTTTTCTTTCATCAAAGAACAATATCAGAAGCTCATTGCTATAATTCAACTTTCCACAGCTACAACAAACATATCACAAGTTAATACTCTTACAGCAAGCTTTCAACCTTCTTCTTAACCAAGTAATAATTTTTCTTTATTTTTTAGTACCAAAATAAATAATTAGATAATTGATTCTGGGGCTATTTGATCATATAGTTAGTTCCATTAAGATACTTGATTTCTACAGGTAAATAGATAATATTTTTATCAGATTATCTAATTATCAATAGTACTTGTTACACATGTATCATATTTATAAATTTTGATACATTTTATTTTATTTTTATAATTTTGTTAGAAGTTTTATTTTTTTTTTATCACTTGGTAATATACATTTTTTTAAATATATAAAAATATTAAATGACGAATTCCCTAATTTCTTGTAAGTGTGAAAACAAATTGCTTTTAATAAAAAATTATAATGTCTAAGAAAAATCTTTAACTATGTTAAATGCCCTTAAAAGTTCTTTTGTATGATCAAATAACATACAAGAAAATTGTATAAATTTTTATAATAATATTGATCTTTATGGATGTCTCTCCAAATTCATATTTGCTCTTTTACCAAACTAGTAAAAACCTATTTTATCCTAAAAATTCATAAGCTATTGATAAATATCAACAAAAAAGAGATCACAAGAGAAAAGTAATTGTCACACATTGTAACTCTTTTGCATACATAAAATGTATTTAATAAACTACAATATGGATGAGTCGGTCTGAGAACTTAGTTCGAAATGAAAAATTTTAGTAAAGTTTTATTATAGTGCGATAAAAACCAAAAGAGTTAATAAAAATTTCGTGGAATTTACTTTCGAATATCAATGCAACATCTAATTGGCATAAGTACTTGATTTCTGCCTCCACTCATCTTCTCTATCAAATCAAGTTTACCACCTGAA